ATTTAAAAAGAAAATACTATCACGAATATTGAAACTGAATCTAAGGTAAAGAAAACACGAAAACGTTCGTTTATAGGATAACTTGTGGCCAATCAGACAAAACTACTGGAATGGCGATAAAATTTGCATATTGGAGATAAGAAACAAATTACGAGGAAAACGTGTGTCGTTCCACATCACGCGAGGGCGAAATTAAATCTCAAATTCTCGATATCAATTACGGAAAACGTCCATACTCGTGCACAATAATACTCCCTTTCGAATCAATTTTCGATCGCTTGAGAAGGAAAATTACGATCTAACCTCACTTTCAGCCCCATCGATCGAGGCTGCTATTGTGAGTCGAGCCTTATAGTAGGTGTGTCAATCAGTAGCGAAGTAATGGATGATTTTAAATTGTCATGATGAAAAAGGATCCGTCGTTTCGCGTGCGTCTAATGATCGAATCCGAAGATGAAAACCTCGATTCGAAGGATCGTCACGAAAGAGGTGCGGCCCAATGCCGCGTAAGTTGGCAGCCCTGCTCTAACATCGCGTGATACCAACGTCGAAAATATGCGGGGAACCACCGGCGATGTTTCACCGGGAGAAAGATGGGTGAAAGGGTGTCCTTTTGAATGTAAATCGGGCCGGCATATATCTGCTCTAGATATTGGGGGCGTATGAATGAATTTCGCAAGAGGCAATATCTTGCTTATTATTGAACCAAACCTTTGTGCGCTACGCGTGAATTCACGTTGAGGAATCGTGCGAGGAAAATTTAAAAAATTAAGAATCATCGCCAAGAGTTTACGACGATTAAACTGCCGAATGTTTCGTAAAATAAATATTAATAATTGTTAAAAAAAATATATAAATTAACAACGAAAGACACGCGACAATAACGATAAATCTAAGCTAACATATATAACAGACAAAATTTACCTATTTCCTTTATTGTGTAGAACAAGATTCGTAAAATTATCGAAAATAACCGCACTAACGCTCGGAAATTAAACCCGCTCGTAAACTTAACCCCACTTCGACTTGTAGATCGAACCTACGCAAGGCTCCTTCAACCACGACGTAGTACCATCTTTGACCAATCGCGAAATCAACGTTCGGAAGCGTGCATAACCGAGCAAACCCCCGGCCGCCAATTTGAATAACAAAGCCGAGGCAAAGAGAGGCGGCCGTTCCGCGAGATTAACCATGAATATTTAACCCCGGTTTCAAAGTAAATGAAAAAGATCTTAAACCGCCCCGCGCACGGTTCGTGTACCGGGATACAGACATCAATGGACGCGAAACCGTCAATAATCGGCATCCATCGGTGCAATCTTGATGGCAATTAAGGCCGCATCACGGTGCATCATTAAATCATAAACCTTCGTCGGCCAGTTTATCCGCGAGGATTTCGCTCTCCCACGCGCCAAACGGCCGTTAATTTGCCACTGAATAAAATCGAGGAGAAAGAGAGAGAGAGAGAGAGAGACCCTCCGGGCTGTCCAGACCTTCGCTCTCCAACGATCTGACGTCTGCACAAGCGGCGAACAACAACTGATCCTAACTGCCCACCACGGCCTTCCATTAATGCCCACCGAGTTGGCCAATTACGATCGGTAATTTCACATTTTCTCTACGTATAATCGATGGTGGTCGATGTGTCTCGCTCGGTTGGCTGCGTTGCTCGAGATCATCGGCAAAATGAACAATAAAGGGAATTGGAATGATTTAAGATACACGTATTTTGAACCACGGTGCAAGAAGTGATTGATCTCGCTGCTATTTCAAGACTCTTTGAGCTAGGCTTTAAATTTTTGTACGATCCTTCCTTCAAAATTTTCATCTTTTTCTTCTCCTCGCATGGAGAAGTAGCGAAAAATTCGTGATATTTAATATATGTGTATTTATAGCAGATATCCGGAAAAAAATGATCCTCTTGCAAGCTCTGATTTCGAAGTTGATACACAACAACTGATACAACACCCGATTTGAAACCTCGTATTCTCGATCCGGTGAGAAAAAATTCGCGAAAGAAAGCGTATCGAACGCGAACAATCTGCCGACGATTCTCAACGCCCGTTGAAAACGCGACATTTACCGCGACGTGCACGTGCGCCACGCACGAAGACAAAATCGTGGCGTGCTCGAGAGGTTTTTAGCGTGACGAAGCTTAAGGACAGTGAAACGTGTGCAACAAACACGCGTGCAACTCGCGTTCTTGTCCGCAGTCGTGTTATAGTAGGTCGTGGCGTTAAATTTCGGCCGATGATTTGTGCGGGGAATTAGTCGCGGTGCGGGCGTGCTTCGCGCGTGCAATTGCCACGACGATGAAATATGGAACGAGTGAGCGGATTTGTTTCACGACCGACCATCCTCGTAATCGATGACGAAATCTTGAGATTGTCTTTTCTTTTTTAAATTGTACCTGAATATTTTTTTTTCTCTCCTTTAAAAATTTTCGAGAGAAACGAAGGAGTAGATTGGTATCGATATTCCTTTCTTTTCTTTTTTTCTTTTTTTTTTTTTTTTGCATCGAGCAACGGATACAATTTAATTAATTTGTCTTTAAATTGGATGTTACAATCGTCGAGACAAATAATGCGATTTATATAAAGGACGCGGTAGAGACACTTAGCGAATTCTTTTCGGAGATTGAGACATTTATTAAATCGGCCTGTTCCATCAGAAGAAGCGCAAGTCGTTTCGCTCCCCTTAATGAGCGTACGTGATGAGCATATCGATAATTATCGATGCACCGCGCACAATATTCAGATACATTAATCGTTTTTACGTCTGAGTTAAGTGTCGGGGTAAAATTTACCTTTCTATCTTCCGTAACCGCGCGATGCGAGATTAATAAACTCTTCGATGAATTTCTCTTGAGATGGATTTTATTGAAATATAATTAAACGATCGAATATCTATCAATCGAATTTATTGTTCATCTTTTCCACGATTAAACGAGGTATTAAAAACAGGAAATAGTTGCATAGAAATTTGTGCTGACCAACATCACGCGTCTTTTCTCCGACTATTCAATTAAAGTAATCCGTGCAAGCAATAAAACATCTATTACTCACTATATCTTCTTGTACAGTGACTTGTTGAGATGCATTCCACGATGGAAATATATAAAATTCATCGATTGAATTAAATCAATCGAGAAAGAGAGAGAGAGAGAGACACGTCGAAGAAAAATTACCATATTTCTCATTCATCATCGCCACTTTCCACACAACTATCTTAAAATATTAACCTATAATTCTCTTCTCACATTCTACAACTTATACACATTCCATACACGATAAATCAAACGAATACGATAACGAGTTTCATTTTTTTTTTTTTTTACTAATAAAATTGTTACAAAAATTAATTAGAAACGTATCACACTTCTTCGATAGATATAGCGATCCGACTCGAAAATGAATAAGTATCAATTTCACCGATGAAAGCGCAAGATATTTTATCTCCGATAAATCGTATCGAAGGAGAATATCCGCGAGAGGTAGACAATTACGAAGACAGGAACGCGATATCTACGCGGGCAAAAGCAATTAATAGGATGCTCATTACGTGACGCGTCTGCGCGAAATTGCCCCACGAACCGATAATCATTCTAAAATATCGAGTATCGCCCACTTTTGGTAATGGAGGTCTTAAATGCTTGGATAAAATTGATGCGAACCCTCGTGAAAATCATTTACCATTTTTGCGAAATGTACATATCGCCGTCCTTACAAAAAGCGAAAGAAAGAGGAACAGAAAAATTGCTCACACGCCAATTCTAATACTTTCTCACTTTTACTCTGCGTACTTAATTATGCAATTTTTACACAATATTTTGTGCGACATTACGATTATTCATCGTGAAATATTTTACATGGATTTTTATTGATCACAGCATGAAGTGAAAATATCAAAGTAAGTTTGGTATTTTGTACATGAAATTGCTACAATGAAAATATTTAAATATTATACAAGGAAACTTGTAATTTTTAAATTTTCTTATATCTTTGAACAAAGAATTTAGTTTTAATTTATGTATTATGTATTAATTGTTTCTGGATTTAATAAATTTTCTATATTATTAACAACCTAATTTTATTTTATGTTTCAAAGTTTCAAAAAGTATTATTATAAAATAGCAACTAATTGACTCTTGTCAATTTTCATCTTCTTTCAAAAGGACGACAAAACTCTATTACTTAAAAATATATAAGTAATAATCATATTGATTATTTTGTTAAACACTCTTTGTATTTACAATTTCCTTTAACATAAAAGTATTCATTCTTGTACCTACGTGTAATTGTAGAAGGATTTGATTTCAGTTCGAAAACATTTTTTTTTATAACGCGCATAAAATTATTGTTAAAAGGAATATACACGAAGAAGGAACGTAAGTTCGCGACACGAGTTCGCCCACATCGCCTACCCACCTTTTATATTCTTGATTTCTATTGCCAGAAAAGGCCTAAGCGTGGGTGTACGAAATTTTTGCCCGTTGTTACTAGGTCGTGAATAAAAAGGCGAAATCAATTTCACGTAAGGATAAACTCGTACGATCGTCGACGTTGTTGCAACACGTGCGAAACAATAGAGCGTGTGTTCAGATATCGTAAATAGATTAAATTCGTAGAATAATTTTAATGTATACGTAATGCACACGTACATATATATTGACCACGATCAAAGTTATTTTCATTCTCGTATGATATACTTTAAGATAACTCTTACTGCGATTATTTATGCTTTCAAATCTTAAACCATAATATTTAGATTAGATGAACCATTTTTCCTAAATAAACTCACGCTCGTACGATCAGATCATCTTTAAAGTGGATTTAAAGAATATATAAGTATGCACATTGAGAAAACTATTTTTAAATTTTTCTGTTAAATTTTGTTCAAACTTCATCAAAGCTTAGAGAATTTTATCACCGATATCAAGGATTCTTTCCAAATCTCTCGTATGTAAAAAATTAAACGAAGAATATTACATCGAGACTCACCAAAACATCTTGTAACAGTTCGTGCTCGTCAAGAAGTATCACTTTGCAGTGAAGAAGACGGGGCCTACGGCTTCCGGCCGGCCTAAGTCCAGGACAGAGCCACTCCACCACCATCTCTTCCTTCGGCAGACCCCTCGTTTCCCTTGTGATTCCTTCCTGGCTTTACTCGTTCATCCGCTCATCGGTTTTGGTCATCCTGAAAGATGAGGACAACGCTGTAATCCGATCAAAATTGTCGCTTGTACGTACATAGCGATGCAGGCGAACACGATATCTATTCTCGACCTTGCTATTGAGGAACAAAAGAGCTGTGGCACCGTACACGCTTAAACAATTTTATTATTCAACATTCGTGGAATTAATTTTTCTCCTCGCGTTTGAGAATAACATGTTCTTCTTTATCGCGAATAAGATCTAAGAAATTGTTCGAATTTTTCTCGATTCGAATTATTCCTTTAATAATAAATAAATCATATTTCATATACTTTTCTCTATATCGTATTTCTCCATCACAAATCTCCACAACTCATCAAACAAATTGAACAAAATCTAAAAATCGTTCAAATTAATCACTTTTAAAATAACAACTTACTTAACTACTTAAGTTAAAAACTTCTTACAATACTTCTCTAAATATTCCTCCAGAGAAAAATAAGGAAAAGAAGATTAATAAACGAAACAAAGTATCGTTGACCCGCCCATGCGAACGAGCTCGCTCCGATCGTGAATAGTGAATAGACCAAACCTGAAAACGTTTCGACTTCTTCGAACGAGAGTTCAATGGAGGTTGAACGAAACCAATTAAAATTGTCCCGTACAATGAGTGAATAAACGGCCGAATTAACTAATTCCTTTGAACCTAAGGGGATTACGCATATAGGCAATAGAATAATGAAACGCTAACGAATCGCAAAAGCGACACAGTCCAACGATTCGTGCGACTGGTCGAAAAGAAAACTTGCTCGTTAATCAGTCGGCAGGAGAATATTGGCCCGATCTGATCGTTAATCAGACGGGTATCTATCTCGACGAGATCTTTGAACAGGGCACGTTTGTGCGACTAATAGAGTCGATTCCGCGACAGCAACGGGAAGAAAACGAAGAGAAGAACGATCGAGAGGTGGTGGATTGGAGAAAGGAGGACACGGAACGAAGGTGGAATTATCTACATCTCTGTCCTGACTGTCGTCGAGGAAGACGCGTGTATAAGAGCGGAACGATCGGGTTTGGTGCAATTGATTTCGTGATTTATGACATCCAGGCAAGCGAGAAAGATTGACAGTCGCCGGAACAGTTGCGTTTTAATCGATTTCACGTCCGATCGAATTTTTCGCCCCGAATTTCGAGACCTTTCCTTGTGCTATTTCTTTTTTTTTTCTTTTTCGAAGAAATAAAAGTATAAGAGTTTTCGAGCAGACCAGTGTTTTCTTCCATTCTACGTTTCACGAAGAAGAATAATTTTGGGAGATAATTAGAAAACGATATTGAATTTGTCGTTGTTTTCTTGAATCCTATAATGGATAACGCGAAATTAGAGTCAAAAATTAGTGTTTCAAGAGCATAAGGCGATCATCCATCACGCGAAAAGGTAATTATCTTAAATTCTATTTAAATTCCTCTATTCTAAGTTTTTCTATCGCGATATTGAATCACTTGTTTTTTAATTTTTAAATTTCGAATCTCTTAATTTTTATTAAAATTTCAATTTTCGTTACTATATTAGAAAAGAATGATTATAAGAAGAGAAGAGGAAGATGATGAAAGATAACAATAGAGAAAAAAAGAATGAGAATGTGCGAAGAGCGGTGTTTTGTTCTTCTCTTTTTTTATTAAAAAAAAACAGTCTCGCCTTTCCTACTCTGTTTCGTTTTTCAAATCTAAATATTTCCTATTTTCTAAGGCAATATGATCATCCTGCCATCCTTAACTTCTTCATTATAAGCAAATACTTGATACTCGATAGCTACGTGACTTTGTTCATTAGCAGATATGAATGATTTGCATTTTCCTCTTGCCACGTGTGGTTTATCTCGTATCAAATTTTTTGAAAATTGCGTGTCGTCAGTGTGAATGAATGTAGATATGGTTATGAAGAGAATTTGTTAGATCCTCAATAAACAAAATTACAAACAAAATGTTTAAAAGAACTTTTCAGAAAGTAAAATGTTATACTTTTAATTTAAGTTTGTTTCAAGATTTTTTACAGGAACACAAGATATATTTTATACGATATATTGATTGAAGAAAACGTTTTGCAAACATAATTTTCTATTGAAATCTAATTTTTCAAAAAATATTTCACGTAAAGAAATTAATTTATTAATTCATTATCTTAACGTCATCGATATTAAATCATTCAAGGAAGATAATTGAAATAATATCGTTCCACTAATTTCTCAATATTCTCATCAGACCTCTCTTCTCCTCTATCGAATAAAAAATAACACTTTGAAAAAGAAGAAAATTGCAACTTATTTCGCCTCGAAAAAGAAACGTGTCTTGAAAAACAACTAACTCGACGATTCTCGGGGAAATCGAACGCAGAAAATGACACACAAGCAGAAAAGCACACGATGAAAAGTCAACGAGGTGGCTCGAAGGTGGAGAGAACTGCTTCCATCCCATTAAGATACGACCGTGCGCTCGTGCTAAGCACGATAAATTATCTACAATGCAAATTTCTACGGTGCACAAATCCCGAAACGGTCCGCTTCATCGACGCCCGTTCGTTTTAAGCGTATCGAGTTAATTTATGCACGCCCCTTTCCCGCGCATAATTGCCACGCTATGACCATTATTTACATAACAAGTTTAAGCAACAAACACCGTGGCGACGCGGATGTAAAATCCTTAGGGCCCTCGCACCTTAATTTCCTTGTTCCAAATGTTGCCGGCCAAACGGGCTACGACTAAACACGAACTGTGAAACATCAACTGTGAAATTCGAACACGTGGGCCAGCGTGTAAGAAGAATCTTGGGACAAGCTCGTTCCCTTGTAACGGAGAAGAAAAGTTCCAACGAAATGGAATGATACGAGTATCGATTATCCACGGATCGTGAATAATAAATCGAGCGAAACAACTTGAGAGAGGGAGAGAGAGAGAGAGAGAGAGAGAGAGAGAGAAGAGAGAAGAAAAGAAAAGAAGTAAGTTAAAGTTTACCGTACCGTTAA